AGATGGATGGATGATGTGGGAAAAGATCTACGACAGCTGGGAATCCAAGTATGGAAAGGAAAAGCATGAGTTAGGTTTGAGTGGAAGGAAGTGGTGAGGCAGGTCAAAGCCCTACATGGGCTGTAGCGCCTTAGGAATAAACTAACAAAAAAAAAAAAAAAAAAATCTGGAAATGCCACGTTGTATTTAATTCTTTCAATCTGACATGGTCCTAAATTTTTGTTTAACCCGTAACTTTAAATATGCCCTTCACAGGAGATGGTCAAATGTTACATGTGCACGTCTGAATTTCTCCCTGACAAAAAAAAATACGGTCAATCGTTTAGGAAGGATGATCCGGAGACGCAAACTTCAACCGAAACCAAAAATCAGCCGAAAGTTTTGCTTTCCTGTTTCGGCCTAAACCGAAACTGCGCCGAAAATGATCGTAACAGCAACCTTAGGCGCCGAAAACCCGAAATTCGGTCGGCCCGCTAATTCAAATCTCCGACTATTCCTTGTCTCTAAATGTATCGATCACTGTCTCCCTCTTGTTCATTAGTAGGCGCATCTTGAAATGAGCGTCCTTCTTGAATGTCCTAAGGCAGTGGTCGGTAAATTCATCAGTCAAAAGAGACACCAAAAAAAAAAAAAAAAAAAAAAAAAAAACACCCCGGGCGCAAAAAAAAAAACAAAAAAAAAAAAAAAAAAAAAAAAAATAGCAGCAGGGCGATTAAAAAAATGTTTGAGAGGCAAATTTCTTTTTCAAGAACCTGCCAAGAACCATGTTTTTTGGAGTCAAAAACCGATTTGTGGCCGACTGGCCGAGCCGCACTCAGGTCCTGAAAGAGCCGTGATTTGCCCACCACTGGCCTAGGGTTTATGATAAATCTTTTGTTGTTGTTACGTCTCGGTATATATCTGCGTTCGGCACCCGTACCGGGTCGTCACCTGGCACTTGGGAACGGCTGCTCTAAAAGATAAATTGCTCCCACTTTAAATACCTGGCTAGCTGCTACATCAACAAATAGTTAAGGCTGTCAGGGAGTAGACCCCGACGGAAAAAACCCGGAGATTGGGTAACGAGGACTGCCTTACACGGAACTTAAGGAAATGACGGAAACAAGATAATAATAATAATAATAACAAAACTAAACGTTTGAGAATAACTATTGGAAACAGCATTCAAGAGATACAAAACAAAGTCATTATCTGCACAGGGTAAGTCTCAAGCATTATTTTTTCCCCATCCAAAAATCCCTTTCCTTCCACTAAAACAATCTGTCTTATTTCTCATAATAACATGTATACTGCTGCCGTTGTGCTATCAAAATGTGAGATCCTTTAGCTTATTTAGATGGAGACCCCTCGACTGGGTTAATTTTGAATACCACCGACCTGCACTGGAATAATCCGAAAGGGATCAGACGAAATTGGATTAAATTATTACAAAAGAATACCAATGGTCGCATTCTAGAATTTTGATATTTCATTGAACATCCACAGTATCTGAGCCGTCTCGAAACTCCCAGCTCAACGGCACAGATTTGGCTTAGCTGTTAACTTTGTCAGTCAGGCCCGTATCAACTTGTCATAGATTTTGTTGCACCTTTAGACGAACTGATGCACAGCATTGACTCTCTCTCTCTCTCTCTCTCTCTCTCTATATATATATATATATATATATATATATATATATATATATATATATATATATATATATATATATATATATATATATATATAT